ATCCAGGATTTGATCAGCGGTGGCCGGTATGGTCGTGAGCTCGGATGCCGTGAAGGTTGCTTCAAGATTGATGGTCACGGCATTCGCGTGGCTGGCATACAGGGTTCTCAGAGTGTTGTTTTCTTCGTCTCTACATTCGAAGACTATTGGCTGCCAGTGATTATAGGCGTGGACCTGTAGCGATTGGGGCTTGTAAACAACACATTTGGCCTTTACTGTTTCTATAGGGATGCCTCCGTAGATTTGTAGATTTTCAAGTGATGAAGGGTCTTTTCGAGACCGGTCGGTTCTTGCCAGGGCTTAATGAGGTGTCAAGGTGGTTCACAAAGGCTGGAGGGTTCTACGCCTTACTTTCATACTCGCCGGTGGACGCCCGAGACAAAGAACCGTAACATGATCGTTTTTGTAATAGATTATTATCTATCCTCTCATTATGGCTAACACGATGCGGCTGAATTACTCAATTCCTAGTTCCAGTTCCCACTAGGGTGCCTGTATCCGGACTTCTTAGCCTTCCACGGACAAAACTAGCATGAGCTAAATAGAGTTTTCTATTTGCGCAGACGGCCCATTTTCATGTTCCTTGCCTTGCCTTCTCCCTGTAGTGTTTAAATGGGTATCACGCCGATACCACAGTTAAGGCTGCAGTTGACTGAAGAGCAAGTTGTATTTAGAAACGCAGAGGTCAGCTTCGTCGTCGATGTTGATGCTGTGGGGAGAACTGCTTAGATGGAGAAAGGGGCCCATGGGTTTGAGTTCTTTGCGGTTTAAAATGTGGGCACAGGCATTCAATTAATGTCTGATAACTGGCAGCCGTCTACATATTTCGTTGTATATCCAGCTGGTTCGCAGGCTTCTGTCAAAAAAAACCAAACCATACAGATAATGGTAAAAGCCCGATCGCTGGGACATGACCATTATTTGTCTGACTTCATGCATTCTGTCTCGAGCACATACTCAGTGACAGTAGCAGTAGCAGAAATAGGTAGTTCGCGCAAAGTGAATTCGCTATACTCCTACATATCTATGACAATTGACGTTATTTCCTTTATCGAGGATAGTTGCCGGTTTGTGTGTTGATTGCTCCAGTGTGCAGGTCCTGAAC